AATAAACCTCGAGACCCTATCGAGCCGGTGACCATTGTCACAGCCAGGAAGATGTGGGTGGGTGTGATTCGTGTACCTCCTCCTGGTTCTTCTGGAATCAGGATTTTTAGCCAACTCCCTGAAGTGAACTATCAGTGGTTCATCAAATCGGTTATAGCCCTGGTTGTTGGCTTTTCGTCTTCTCACTTTGGTGGTAAAACCTCCTCCATGTGAAGGCATTGAGTACTGCTTCCTCAGCAGAGGATTTTTGAGACGCTTAGTCGTGTGGGAGCATTTCGCGAGATGGGAGCGAAGGGTGACCAGCCACAACTCAAGGCACTCATCCCCGGCCCTGCTGAGGCTTTTGGAGGCGTCACTAAGCAAGACTCAATGCTAAGTTNGGCGAAAATAGCGAAATCTACAAACAATCGAAACAGAGATTGTCCATATGCCAGTAAAGCGTCCAACAACGGGTGTGTTCGGTGCACCACAAATCAAAATTGCCTGTGTCACACACTTCACGTGGCTGACAGAATGCGCACAAATTTTTCGTTATACCGAATTCGTGAGTGGTTTAAAAGAGCATGGCTCATTGCAGAGAATAATGCTAAGAAATAGTATTAGATGCTACCCGTTGCATTACTCGATACTCCTATTTGCAGTAGCATCGATTGATGCATCCACCTCTGATGTAGCAGTGCTTGATTTGTGAATGTTATAATGCTAATAACACAGCGATGTCTGTAGAGAATTATATTCGCCGACGTTTCGGTTACCGTGGGTAACCTTTCTCAAGGCAGTTTTTACAATCAGTGCTTGGGCTGATAGAACTACTTTTAATGCATTACTAGTGAGCTACCACGTTCACGGAAAAACCTGATGAATAGAATGGGGTTGGGGGGAGCAGGCGAAAAATAGAGAGGTTGGGTCAACAATATTAAATCGAGCAGCTATGAGATACGTATCATCTGACGAAGTTGTCAGGGTGATGCTTTTTGAGCTAGCAGTATCGGTGTTACCTTCATCCCAAACAACTCAGAAGGTTGCGTGCTTAGGTATACCATCGATACTATTGATCGCATTCCGCTGAGCTTCTTACTACTCACCCATACCCACTCCAACTATCTGTCGAGTGTGGTTGTTCTCGCCGCGTTTTTCGTTACGTGAGGCACAATACAAACACACAGTCGAGGCACCTAATGATGTACTATTCCCTAGACGCTGAAGATGTTACCGCAATCTCACGATTGCGGTTTGCGGGAATTTTTTCCGTCTCGGTGGACAGACTAAAATGATGCACGATTCATACAATCTATGCTGTTAACCGCCCCAGCTTTTGCAAGAGATTTTTGTTAGTATATGGGTTGTGTCTGTCTGTTTTTGCACTTCGGCAACTGGATAAGCTGCAGTTGCCATGACGACATACTTTTATTGTAGAGCCAATTTTTGCCGTGAATTGTGGGTTTTTCGTTCTCTGTCATCGTTTGCGAATGATAGCTTTCGCAGGGAAAGCGTTTTGGGTACTCACTCTTGCCACTGGTGTCATATAATATGTACTCGAATGTGGTTTGATTTTGAGATTTAAGGGCTCTTTGCATATGTATTAAATTATGGTGATGAGATGATGACAATCTCGGGACAATGGAAAGATCGTCTCTAGAATATAATCGGTGTATATAGGCTTTGCGAGCATGTGTAAAACGGAGAAGCTGCTTGCGGATGTGTTTGTGCGATTAAGCTGAATTCAAACTACTCCCCTGATCCAGTTGAATTTATCTTGTATCCCCCGAATTAATGGATACACTGTACGCCTCAAGGTGGCATTTCGAACAGAAGTCCTTTTATACCAGTACCACATCTAGTTATCCGCCAGCTATCTCTATCATTGAATGTTGGCTATCCCTAATGAAGATAGCTTGTGGATTCATAACTGTACTTTAAATGACTGTTGGACGCATTCTGCGCGTTTCATTACCTGTTGTCAAATCGTCGTTGCTTCTCTACATCTGGAGTTCGCTCTTTAAGCCCACATGCTCTTTAAGTGAGCGTAAATTGTCGGGTTTTCCTCCTCCATTTTAGTCATGCAGTTTGCTTTCTAGGATTATCAGATCAAAAGAGTTTGATTGTACGTGAATCTATCAATCGACTTTTCTTGTCCCCGGTGTAACTGAACACCAGCTTGTTTACCGTTCTGATTTTGTCTGAATAATAATCCCTTCCGATAACGAAACCATTCCCTCTCCTGTCCTAGCTATCTCTGTCAGTTGACTGCTCACTCGTTTCTTGTTTCAGTACCTGTCAAATCTCCCGAATCCCGCGAATAGATGATCACGAAACTCAGTGATAATTATTATGATTTTTTTCTTGTAAAACGTGTCTGGTGGATCCTGACTTTATGTACGAGTGTGTGTACGAGTGTTTTGGCTTTGATGGTGTATCTATTTGTCGTGGTGATTATCTTTCACCCGTTCCCGTCTTGCTGCACTTCACTGATTATTTTTCCCGTCTGCTCTTGATCATACGGTTGTAAAAAAGAGGGTGGGGGATTCCGGAACAATAATCGCTCTTCATACATATAACTGCAAACTGATTGCCCAACCAATGTCGATTTCACTTCGGCAAGATTTTTCGCTGTACGCATCCATGCACACTATTTGAACTTGCTACTGATTGATTTATGAGTAACAAGACTAGAAATGATCTATAAATTTCCAGTGGAATCGCGATCAATGTGTAATCCTGTTTCCCGCTGTCCGTCTCACCGTTTTCTAGCTGATGAAAGCGGTGGATCAGTGCAAAACGCTGTTGACAGAAAATGCACATTTGGCTCAAAAGTGCCATGAATTGGAGTTGGAAGTAAGTCATTTGAACCCAGGCACTGTGCATGTGCGCGTACGCGAAATAAATATTGCCCATTTATCGTTCCTTTCTGAAATGGTGCTCTTAAAGTCGCCAAACGGAGCCCCGAATTTTAGTAGCTTTGGTAGCTTTAACATTTCCCGTACTGCGGAACAAACAAATCCACTGATCAAACTCTTCTCGTGTGTTAGCAACAAGTTGAATTCGCATAAAAAATAAATGAACTATTGAACTTATTATTACGTGTGTCGAATGTCGTTCATGACATGTGCTTTAGTGATGCTGTCTTTCCTCGAGTGGCATTTTCACCCTTTCATTGATCATAGAAGAAGTATAACTCTTTTTTGTCTTCTCTTAACGCGATTGTGCGATGACATACATATCAGCGCTTCACACTATCGACCACAGGCGGTTGCGTACACTCAGAAAATGCATTCGAGCAAGCTTTTTATAGTTGTATTCTGGATTCAGAATTTGGGCCACACAAACCACGGTATACAATTTCGGGTAGAAGACAATTCTGTCATTGATTTATTCATAAGCTGAATACTATTTGTTTGTCCGAACAATATTTTCTTTGGGCTGTTATTAATCGGGGTCATCGGATAGCCAATGGCAGATTTGCAGAGCAGAGAGATTTTGTGTTGGTTTCCAGTCTATCAGATGAGGTTCACACATCCAGAGCGCTCAAGACATCCCATTATCCAATCGAATCATTATCTAACACTACTAGAATGTCCTGAACTGAATTTACAAACCTCTTAATGAGAGGTTTGAAGTCCTGTTTGTTCCCAGTTCCCGTCGATGAGCTAGGTGTGCGTTGGCCCGGCTAAAGTTCTCGTTGTTGGCTCTTCACCCTCTCCACGAGAAGACAATGAGTTGTACTTCGTTGACAGATGCTTCGAGAGGAACACTTTTTTAGAGCATTTCTTTCATTGAGACCAAGGCCACGTCCAATCGCGAAAGAAAACTGGGGCTTTTAGAGTTCAAAAAGCTAACTAGCGTCTAAAATGTGTTGAGAATATTCATCGTTGTATGCCCTGTCAATTTTCAACCCGACGCATGAATTATGGCGATCGGTGCGGGCTCCCTTTTTCCAGCCAGTTTCGTCATTGTACTGTACGAGGGCTGAGCAAAAAGTCTCCGGTTACGCCGTACACATACGAGGTACAGATGACACCGAGCAAGGAAAACATAAACAGCAATCTGTTGTGAATATTGTTCAGTGATTGTAACTCACAGAACAAAATATCACCAGTCGAGCACAGGTCACAAGTCAAGAGTCGCTATACTCGTCATGTAAGGAGGGGACTAAGTCTATTTCACTTTAGGGAGATGATTTTCTACAACTACAAATGTTGTTTAAAACAGCAATGGAGTGTTGATCGTTTGCGATCAACCAATGGTGATGTCGCGCCTTTAAGAAGCATTGTGTTTCAGTGGTTTGCGGAATTCCAGCGTGGTAGGTGGTCCGTGGATGATGAGACACAGTGTGGTCGACCTGGAAACCACCACAGTGGACAACATTATTGCTGTGCAAGCAATGGTGGAGGTGAATGCGTGGTTAACAGTCGCATAGCTGACGAAGGCCATCAGAATCTCATTGGGATCGATCCGCATCATTCTATATGAGAAACTCGGCCTCAAAACGTTTTGCCCACGATGGGTATCCCATCAGCTCAGTGAGAAACAGAAAACACTTCGGTCAAATTGATACCGCATCATACTTGTCAGATTTAAATGTTGGACGTTCCAATACAGTTTAGGAAATCATCAGTGGTGATGGGCCCTGAGTGTACAGTTTCAACCCAGAGACCAAGGAAAAATCGACTCAGAGCACGCGGATTGGTGGGGCGCCGTCTCAGAAGTTCTGAGAAAGACGATGCTGCATTGGAGGTTTTCAAGGAACTGGAATAAGGGTTATCCGCTTCGGCATAATCTAGCTGTCTCATCAAATGGTTTGAGTGCAAGGAACTTTGCGTGAACGCTGGTGGAGAATATTTCGCAAAAATGTATCGCTTGCTTTTGTGTAACAAATGAAAGTTTTTGTGCATCCAGAAAACTTTCTGATCAGCCCTCGTATGTTACGCAAGTTCAGCTGAGCATACTTTTCAGTTTGCGCCATCCTGTGACAGTTTCGGTCTCTATGTTCAACTTATTCACTCAGGTAGAGGGGATCAATGGAAGAATCGAAAAGCTCGCATAATCAAAATAGGGCACAGAATACAGGTAAGTTAGATATCCCTGAAAAGCGGGCAGTTGTACTGGGTCTGCTTTATATTACAGCACTGATTCTTCACTCCATCCGCACGGACAAGAAATCAATTGATTCCGGTATCAGTTCAGCACATCAGATGGATTTGTCATTCCAAATACTAATGCGTAATCTATTCTTCTTTGAGAAAATGTCAATGGATTGTCTCGGTGCAAGCCGGAAGTAGTTGGTAATCCGGGTTACGTCTATTTTCTCCTTAGCGCAACCCACACACCATTATAATTTTGTCCTTGTTATAACATATACGTGTTCGTCGGGGACATCTTGCTCAATCCTTTTTCTCCCCTCCTCCCCATCTCTCACTGTCTCTCGCCTCGGTGCTATCCGGTGTTGCTCTCTGATCTTCCGCTTAGTTGGCCAGTTTACGTGATGAAAAACAGTTGCTGCAATCCGAAAATAAGAAATTGCGTGCGGAAGCCTCCGTAGACCACGTGAATCCTGACCCGGTGACCGGAGCCAGTTTGCTTGGAACATCCAGCATATCCGGAGATCCAGTTGTGACCAGTCTGAGTCCGACGGTGGCCAATGTCCGAATCGGGCAGTTGCAGGATCAAGTGTCAAAGTTGCGAAGCGAGGTTTATCGATTGGAAACAGGTGTGTGTGAGAGAGAGTTGTTCGCCAATGACTTGACTTAATTTGCTGAGAAAACTAAGCATCTGTTTGGTGGTTTCAACATCAAAACTATTCATTCAGTAGGCTGCAGATGTCTTATATTCGCTGTGGAAAGATAATACCGACATGTTTCTTGATTCACTTTTTCCCGTCTATCTCTCAAACCAGTGGTCAATGATTGTTTAAATCTCGAAGACTATAGGTTACCCCTGGTCCTCGTTCATCCAAACCGTATGACATCAGACGTGTCTTCAGGCAGCCAAGTTCAGAACGGCAACTGGGATGGTTAGCCGTGACTGAGTATTTGGACACTGCTTCTGCGGTTGGTGGCAATCACCGACGAGGTCTGAGGACGTGATACGATTTCACGTTGCAAACAGCATCATAGAGTTTGAGAATATGGCTTGTCTTTGAATAAGGCGGTTATTTGTCGTTCTACGACAATTACTTGAATGTACACACATACCTGAAGATCGAGTTATATTGGAGACACCACTTTGTACTACACTCACAAGATGCTTCGCATATTTATTTATCCATGAAGCCGATTTATTCTCACATAGGAGCAGGTCACTCAAAACTAAAGTGGAATAGTTAGATAACAGTCCTTCCGGGGCTCACTTAGCTGAATCGCGAGAGTCATAATCATCATCTCATTCATTTAGTTAATTGTTACCATCACTGCTTTCTCTGCGCGTATCACACAATTATTTTTATTAGGTGTGTGTGTTTGCGGTTCACATCAAAATTGCTTCACTTCTTCTGGGTTCCATCAGTATGTTTGGTTTAGTACGGTTTTATACATGTGAAACGACGAAGCAATCGCACCGTACTTCAATTCTCATCAATGAATAAACCGTCGTATTTCGGCAGCTCACCCTGTTGACCAGATAACTTGGGCTCATTTGTCAAATGTAAATGAGATTACCACTTTCGCGTGTTGTGTGTGCCTCTATAAGTCTACTAATCGTCACGAGTTTTGTCAGTACCACGTAACGTTTGCTCATTTCGACGTGTCTGTTGGTCGATTACTGTAGAAGCTGCGCCAACTGGGTTCTTTTTCATTACACACCTTAGTGTGATGATCAACAGACGGGAAAGCCCCATAGTCACCAGACTCTGCTGTTCAGTAACGGAAACGGGTGGAGTGGCGAACCCCATAAGGCCCCACTGGGTCCTTTGGAAATACGCTGAAACTAACCACTCTATAGTATGTACAGCTTGCATCATATATTACTTGATATCACTCAATAGGTTCCATCTTTTTCATGCCTTAACGTCCATTCCTTACGTATGTTTCACGCTGCGCTCCTCAATCTTCTCTGTTCGACTAGGCAAAGAAGAAATGGAGATGAAACTGACGCATGCAATGAGCATGAACCAAGAACTGAAACAGAAAGTGAGTCCCATCCAGGCGCTCATTGTTTCATATGTTGTACAGGCACAACGATTCTTCAAATTGCACAAATGTTCATACGAATGTATTCGAATATTAGTGCCGGTATTTGAGTAAGCACATATTTGAATGAACAAGGTGCAACCAAAATCCACTTGTCAGCTTGTTCGTTTCATGGTTGTAGATTTGCCACACACACATGCGCACACGTTGTTTCAGTAAACTGTTCCCATGAAAATAGTTCAATTACGCTGGTATGTTTTCAAAGTGTCTCTGTGGAGTTGTATAAACTGTTCAAGTTTTTTCCAAGCCTTGCGTAAATGAATGCATCTTTCCGTTTTCCTCCCTCCGTCGTCTTTCGAGACATACAATCATACGATTCTTTTTCTGACCTTAAAATAATACAGCCTGTTCCTCGTTGTGGTCATTGCTCCGTAGTCACCTGACTGAGTGCCAATCTTATCTAGCTTTCTCGCGCATTTGTGCACACCTGCTGGCTGTATTGGATGTCACTAAGTAGTCATTCCAGGTTTTCAGCCCATTCACACATTACGGCTTTTATTCATCCACATTGTGCCGTTTGTTCGAGGCGGACCCTTTTGTCCTACTTTCGATCCTTCTTTTGGTGGTTTGAACGTCTTTTGGTATTGTAATTATCTTCAACCAAGTGTCGAATGATGCAACAACTGGGATTCCCGCCTTTCTGCGACTGTACAAGCGGATACTATTCTCCATATGTGATCTACTTGTGAGTGTAAAACTCAAATGTCTGTCAACTTAATAGTTTACGCACTGTGAACTGTGCATTCTGTGGTAATAAAGTGCAGTAGTAACTTTGTAAATTGTGGGGAGGATATAATGGTTCGAGCTATTCCACATTACTGACAACATTCATTCTAAAACAAAGCACACAAAATCTTTACTGAGTTTCCGCCTTTAAATTATTCTTTCTAAATGTTTTCCCGTCTTCTCTATGCTGTAGTGCGTTCTCGTTGGATTCATTGTTACGGTGAACATAAGTAGTGGTTCAACTGAGTCCATTCTCTATGAATCTCTGTAGTTTTGCCACACTGTAGAGAACTGATTTACAGCCAGTTGATGAGATTCAATTTTATTTCCTAATCCGAAATGCTATGCCTGCAACCCCTGTCAGGAATATCCCCGACAAATTCTCAAGATGACTCCTAACTCTCACCTCCGCTATATGATCGACATACGCGTGGTTTATTGGCTTGTGCTTACGTTGTACCCGGGTAAATGGACCCACTTTTGATAAGATGAAATACTAATACATAAAAAACTGTTAGGCTAGTTCAGTTATTATCTGGTAAAGCATCTTTTGTTTGACCACTCTTCCCCTCACATCCACTGTAGTGCGATCAGCTAGCTCAGCGTGCCGAAGAGGCCGCGCATCTGAAGGATGAGCTGGACATTGCTCGTGAAGAACTGGCCACCTCCGCCCATCTCACCGCCCAGATGGAACAGCTGCGGAAACGTGCAGACGAGGCCGTGGAGTTGCGTGTGCGTTGTGCCAAACTAACTGAGGACAATCGCGTCTGTGTGGAACGATTGCGGGAACTAGAGCAAGAGACCCGATTTAGTGGGAATTTACGCTCTCAAGCTGAAACCCAACGTATGCAAGCAGCGGATGCTCGATTGGAGGCCACTGAGGCCACTCGTCGAGCGGAAGCACTGGATTCGGAACTGCGTAAAGTGCGCGAGGAGTTAACTGGGACAGTGCGCGAGAAAATGGTCAGTCCTTCTTGCTCTCTTCTCCCTTTACATTCAATTCATGCGTTGTGCTCGTCTTCATCGAAAGTCACCTGACTGCGAATGTTTTGTTCGCTGCCAAGGTTTTGCTCGCGTTGAATCTGATGCAGTTTAATGTTGCTTTAAGTTTCCCATAACACTACCACATCTAACCGCGTTATGGAAAAGAACAAGATATTACGACGCAAAATTAATGCTCACTAATCCACCGAAACAATTTCAGTCTAAATCAGAAAAAAACTTTGTTTCTAAGTTCGCCATACCATCACACACTCCCCGTCCCCTGGTGTTCTCTCAGGTCACAGAATGCTAATATACCAGAGTCGGCCCACGCTGTTCACGAAATTAAAAGATCGTCAATCTCTTGTGAGATTGGTTGCCGAAACCCCAATCCAGTGGTAGGCAAAGACAGAAGCGAGATGTGCACACAAATCGGTATAGAGTTCAGTCCTCCAGAAAATGATTTATACTGATCACTATTCGCTGAACTTAGTTCGCTATTAGAGGAAAGTTTTAATAATGTGAAAAGGAGAAGCAAACACTGACAGGCTGCCGTATATAGACTTTTTCGCTACCAAAAGATGGAAATTTGAGATAAATGTTCATAAATATGAGGTAACTGAAATCTTATCTAAAAACGATCCTATTGTCACTTCTTAATCGACTTGCGCTCATCTCCTGGGTCAGTTACATAATTATCGCAGCTTTCTCGACTGAATTGATTTAAAGCCCCTCGATCAACGGTACATGATGCTCGTTACAAGCGACATAAGGATGTTGTCGATTCCCACGCTAAATCCCTCAGGACTAAAGACTTCAAAGTTGACAATGAACCGAGTATCCCTTATTTTGTAAACCGGACTTAGTGGTGCTGAACATATCCTTCACCTTTGTTAGTTACGTAGCAATTTGTGATCGATCTCTTATTTTCCAATCATTCAACGGCAGGGTCCTCAAAAACGGTTCTGATGACCTTACAACCCCCTTTCAAACTCCCTCCAATCACAAGCATTCACCCACCAACACTCGACACATTCCCATCATAATCACGTAAAATGGCCTCATGCACAGCACATCATGCAAACCATTGTATACACTCAAATTCGCAAACACAGATATAGATGACATTCTTTCAAGGATTATGCGCGGTTCCCTCAAAACATACTACACGTATATACGAGGAAAGTAAGCCTCCCACGCTCACAACATAACTTAATCCCAACCCACAAGTGAGTTGTGTCTGGTCCTCAAATCCCTCGGGGTTTCTTGGTATTTGATTGTGTAATTCTGCACATTGATCATATGCCAAGAATACTAGATCCATCATGTATTCTTCATTCTTTACTGCGGTTGGCTCCTTGGAAAGGATAAGCCGGTTCAAGACTTGATCAAGATCATGGTGTTCCTTGGGAGTTTGGTACAAGAGACGTCCCCAGTATCACTCGGCGTTTTTTTATTTTGAGGGCACAACTCTAGCCTTTGCACAACCAAGTGCGAACTGCAAGGTGTCAGAAAGTAATCCCTCTCCTCGGAAGTGAGGTCAATGAGTTTAGTTTTAAAAAGCCAATCACATCGACCTTTGTCACGACACCGTCACTGGGCTTTTAAACAGGAGCCAGGTGACCAGCCTGAAACCCACCACAGCCTGGTAGTTCCACCGCTGTTTGTTCGCGACTGCTTATTTGTTGCGGTATGCTACAACTTATTCACAGCTAACCCTCTTCTGTGACGGTATCCCCCTATCCACAACCCGGGACGCGCCTGGTAGCATTCAGCTCTGCTTAACCTGAGGGTATCCATGTGAACCTAACAAAGGGGCCGTTTCGGTCAAACTAAATTGATGAAATGTCCGCGTAGGGTGTCAGGGTAGCAATGCGTTGATCTATCTTATTCTCGTCCGACATCGAAATCCAAATCACTGGCTCTCATCTTTGGGTTTGCGAAGTTAGTGTTGGCTAGGCACGGGAAAACTGTTATCTTGACGATCCAGTTATCCAGTCGCTTTCTTTAGATATTTCGGTACGTCAAAACTTCATCGTTGTTTTAGAGTTCAGATCTGATAGACGTGATGCTCATTTCTCCGTTGAAACTGGTTATTAATTTCCTCTGATTGCCGACAATCTTGCGCGATACGCGTTCATAGATAAAGATCGAATGATTTTGGAGACAGAGTGTGCAAAACAGACTAGATGAAAATTCATCTATTTCGTTCAAGCGTACTGTTTTTTAGGAATTCTGTGTGTGATAAAGAGAAAATAGCGTTCATAGAAGTCAGTCAATAGAAGCTCTATGCACTGGGGTGGTCAAATTTTCAGCTATTTTACACCTCAGTTGTGGATACCAGTTTTACAGAATTGGGTAAAATACAAGGAAACACCAGATAAATCAGATATTATATTTCAACGAAGTAATTCAGTGGAAACCTGCTCTTTTTGCCAACAGGCAAGCGTCTGAAATACGGTCCAACAGAATAACGGGATACAAACAGATCCAATTTTTAGGCCTGGGATGACGTGGATATTGGATGTTGAGTGTATGAGAAACTTCGGAACTGTAATTCGCGCATGCATTTCGATGTCTGTCAATGAATCAAATGCAAGTGTATTTCTAGTGACCTTACTGCGCCCTTTTTGTTTCTATTCGACAGCTTCACACATGCGCAACGGTGTGCTCTAATCTCAACCAGTGGAACACAAAGTCTTACTGGAATCGTTGTTTTTCCGGGTCTCAAACTCTACATGTTTTCGTTTTTCCTGCAAGTTCTCTTCATCATGATCCGTTGTTTCTCTTCGTTCCCTTTCGCATTTCATGTCGTCTTCTGTTTCTTTCACAGTTGTTGGTCACCGAGCTCAATCGTCTGCGTGCTTGCTGCGAAGAATTGCAAATGTGTGTGAATCCTACACGTGAGTGATGTTCGCTTTCTCACTTGCAATGCCCATTACTCCATCGTTTCATATTCACTAACTGATTGGTTTACTGAACACAGCCATATGCCGGACTGAAGAGTTTTTTTATTTGACCTGGGGAAAATTGGGTTACGGGTCAAAACGTTTCATCGGAAACATACCAATCATAACCTCAGCAACCACATGGGTTAATTATTGGAACCGTTTGATGGTAGATGTGCATATTTTGAAGTTGAAATTTTGACTACTTTGAATCGCTTCAGGAAGTCTTGTTGGTCTTTGACCGCTGCGAAAAACCCCAAATCAAATCTTGCGCGCACGCTCAAAACATACTACACACAAATTTGAGTAGTACATTAACAGGGTGGTATTGGCTATTCTGCTTTGCACCAGATTTCTAAGATTAATCATGAATTCATTCACGGAGTCTACTTATTCTTACGTTGGACTAAGTTGCCAAAGTATGCTTACCTGCGTTTTGCTCGGCTATACGAACTGCCGAAACTCAGCACGATGTCCCCGATCAGACCGCTACCTTGAGTAGACGGGCCAACAGACAGAAACTACTGATTGTGGTAGACAAGTAGGAGAAACAAGCTATCCAATCGTGAAATTGGATATAGCTCGTTTCGCTCGCTCCAATTAACCGTTGATGTCGCTGATATACAACCTGCTTGCTGGCTTTTGTTATACTGCATTCTGTAGTTTCCCAAAAGAGATACCTTTTCTGGAAAGTGCGAGGGAGGATTCAATATAGAGTGGGTGTTGTATATCGCAAACACGGCATGAGTTTTCTTTTTCTTTATTAATTATTCCAGTTATTTTTTCCGGTTTATGAATGAACTATTAGGGTGTGTGTAGTTCATGACTTCAACTTGTTGCGTTTTCGTTCCCGATTTCCATCGGCTATCCTTATAGCTGATTAGAAAATACGAATCCGGGTTTCAAGTATCAGTTCCGTTCAGTTTCAGTTTTTACAACCGTCAACCGTGCATTCTCATGCACCGGTTTTGGTCGCTGTCTTTTGGGTTAGAGAGCAGAATGAAGATTTCAACTTTCAGAGCAGAATCAAGGAGAGGATAGAGAATTAATATAGACTTGGATTACAAGGATGATGAGTGGATGCACGAGCGTCACCGGTTAGCATGATCTCGGGGTCCCTATTCAGGGAGCTTAACGGTACCTATGTGACTAAGTGTCCTAGTTTCAAGTATAGCAATGACTAGATGAGAGATTACCGGGTGCGCAAACTTGATGGACGGCAATCACCGCGAAATCGGGTATCTGCATACAGTTTTCCCAATGCCACTTTGTATGCTTCAAGGCAATAATTCCTATATCTGTCAATCTTATCTTATTCTTCAGGTGGCGTTGAAGAGGAAATTGTCTCCTTGTCCTCAGATGCAAACGTGCAGCTCTCACCGGCAATCCAATCGCAAATGATGAATCTTCAAGAAGAATTGAGTCGTCTAAAAACCTCGCTTTCCACAGTCGAAGGTCATACTTGTTGTGTGACTGATGCTGTAGAGCCCAGCCCGACACATGTTCATCAAGGTTTCCAAACCGAGACAGCACATGAGCCTATTTCTCACAAGATCGGTGTCTCTCCAGTCCCAGTGCAAAACGGATTGCCAGAAGAGACCGAGTCTGTACAATCCGTTGATCGCGAACTCTCCTCACTACGAAATCAGCTTTCCCAGAAGGAGCAGGAAATGACCGCAATGGAACAAAAGTATCGGGGCTATTTATGGAAGGCGCGTGAGGTGATTCGGGTACTGGAACGCGAGCATCGTCGATTGCGTGACAATTCGCAGTCTATTCATGTACCAGCCGGAACCACCGAACCGGCTGCACAAGAAATAGATCGTTTGCGTTCGTTGCTCGTAGAGAAAGAGGACATTATCGAGAAATTGGAGGTATGTGCGGCAAGGCCACGATCCCATATTTATTTTGATGTTTGTCAAATGCTTACCATCACAATAGGTAAGACTTCACAAACCAGAACCCTGTTATTGCGGTACGTTACTCCAACCTTTGTGGTTGGACGATTAGTGTTCTTTGTAGTGAGAGCACAGGAACTTTATGATGCATGCATAGTATCTGATTAGGTACATAGTGCACATTATACAATATNATATAAACATTCGCAACAAATCCATAAAATTATCAGAAACAAGTTCAACATTGGTGTAATGTTACCATGGCAAATTCAGGGAACTGAATAACTCTTTTTGCTTGCAAAAACTAGGTTCACTCCTTTGAATCGGAACTATTTCACCTGCTACCCAGGAAGTAAACTATCTCAAAAGGTATGAGGCTTCCAGCCCGGACGGGCTGTTCCCATCGGTTTTTAGGAATTTTAGGGTCAGTCTTAGTTTTGGAGTTAACAAAACTCCTGGGGTCAGTGTGGGAGAGGGAACAGGTTCTAACTGAATGGTGTGAATCGGTGATCATACCGATTATCAAGAAGGGTGACAGATCCTCTTGTGAAAACCATCATCTCCCTGATATTATACTCCGTCGGTTATTTTTTGCACGTGAAAAGTACACACCCTGAGAACCAGGCTGGTTTTAGACTTGGTCGAGGTTGTATCGACCACATTATCATTCTTCGTCAAATTGTAGAACACAGACACTCCTTTCGTAGTCCTACCACTTCTATCTTCCTAGATCTGAAAGCAGGTTTCGACTCAGTCGATTCTTCCAGGCTCTGTCGCTGCCTTACTCTGAAGGATGTGCCCGAGGAGTTAATTTCAATATTACAATCCGTTTACAATAATAGCCGAGTCCGAGCTCACGGCACTTTTTCACTTGAGTTCAATACAGAAAGTGGTGTTCGACAGGGTTGCCCTCTCTCTCCGTTTCTATTTAACTTCGAGATAGATTTAATTCTTGAAACAACCCTATCCTCAGGCGAGGATACCGGTATCGATTTACTCCCAGGTGACAGACTGATCTAAAGTATGTAGTCGACCTGGTGCTACTAATTGGAGATCCAAGTAAGTAGCAAGCTTTTCTGGATAGATTGTGTGCTAGTGTAGCCAGGTTCGGTATGCGTCTTGCACCTTCAAAGTGTAAAATGGTGCTCCAAGTTTGAGTTGGACCAGCACCCAGTTTCACCCTGAATGAGAAAGTAATAGAAGAAGTAGATAAATTTCGTTATCTGGGCAGCTATATCTCACCTGGCGGACGCATCACAGACGAAGTGTCGGCGAGCAGAAGGCTCGGTTGGCATTTGCCAACTTGAGACATTTGTAGCGCCGTCGCGACATCTGGCTGTCTGTGACGGGTCTACTGAACTTTTCGCAATTCAAAAACAAGAATTAAATGGGTCAAACAACATAATTGAACACATTTTAATGTTATCTTCCTAAACCCGAGGTTTTATCATCCCACATAAATGGCAACGGGATGAGTTTCTGAAAGCATTTATTCGTTCGCATTTATGTTCTATAAACAGTAAGTTAGAAAATTACGTAAATTGCTGTTTCCATGGGGGTGTGCGTAGTATGTTCACTTGAGTAACCACGCACCATGAGGCCATAAAAAATGGATGGGGAAAGCGGTATGAAAAATCTCTGTGAACTGACTGCGACAAGAAAGATAGTGCTAGAAGAATGAATAAAACAGGTGTACGAATGGGAATAGAAACCAGGCCAATGTTGGGGAAGTGATGGGTGGGGGGGGGAGGAAGGGTATAAGTTTTTGCAAGGCATCATGTACGGCCATCCTTCAGGATGGAAGGGTCTTCCGTAAGCGCACCTGTGTTGAACAGGGCAGTGTATTTCGCCCCACTAAAGTGTAAACGGAATCTAGCGAGCTGTCCTGCTCATGAGACTAAGAGTAGTTGTGGTCCAAAAAAACTAGGTGAACCAGTGAAGAGACGTCCCCTCCCCACAAACATTGGAAACAGATACTGGGAGCTATTTATTCGACGGCATTTAGGAGTGAAAGGGTGGAGTGTATGCTGCAGCAGTTCGGCTAGTTCTGCTATACAGCACAGAAACTCGAAAACAGGATATAGACAGACTATCGGTGCTCGAACACCACTGTCTACACAGCGTTGCACAAATCTAGTAGGGCAACTGGATGGGCAATACTGAGGTTAAGCGCAGAGAATTAAGTGTGTCACAAAATACGTTACGATGGCGTGCGATGGTTGCCGAAGCAGGTAGTGGGTGGAAAAAAGCCACGGGTGTTCAAAATAAAACCTGGTGTGAGGGTATAAAAACCCTTAACAGAAGACTCGGTCATATAGTTCACATTAGACCCCCTAAATAGGGGCCTCGGGATCATTGTAATCAATGGTTGATGACACTAAATGATATAACTGACTTTACTTTCAACTTTGCTGCTTTTCTCCCACTGTTCATCTAAAATGGGCGCCAAAGACAACAACCAAAACCGGCGCACGAAAGTACATGGTTAATGGTTGTATTAAATGAAAACTGAAACTGAGTAATGAAGTCCAACGATTGAGAAACTCAGATGGCTAGAATGAAGATGTTCCCACAGCGTTCATTCAAGTTAAATAGAATAATGGAACTCCTGCACCCCCGTCCGTCTTAACTTAGTGCCAAGTGTTTTCCCACAGTGCGGTTGAGAATCTTCTCAAAATTCAAGTCTAGCAGCCCTGGAGAAAAACCATGGACTCTTTTTCTTTTTTATAAAGTTTATCGTACCGTGTTTTTGTGGCACACAGTCTGAACTCAGGTGTGTGACCTAAGGGTAACGTGCCTGTGCACCGTCAGTCATTTATTTTCTATTGAAAGGTAATCATCCTAATATCGAATAAATTTTCGAATGTATGGTTTGCGTGTTCACTTATGTGAGGACAATGAATTTCCGTGTGCCTTCGGTGTCCCATATAAACTGCGAAGTTGAAACAGATTGTTTAAGTAAGATTACAGCAGTCAACATTTACTTACTGCCAATCCTAGCGGATTGAACAGTACGAAGTAGAGCCGTTAGTCCTCCCTGCTGGTCTTTGCAACTTGGGATTGTGAATTGGCCATTAAGAAAACAGGATAAAGGTAAACTGTCGGTATTTGAACACCGCTGTCTACGCATCAGTGCACGAATCTGGTGGGGCAGCCGGATGAGTAATGCTGACGACGAGACTGCACCTTGACTTGGTGTGATAGCTTGCGCGCCTCAGAGACCCTGCGAGCTACACAGGATGGCTTCTCACAGCCGTAGATCCAATCATGCCTAAAAGGTCAACGGGTAGAGGCCAGACGAAGACCAGTCTCACAAGGCCAGCTGCTTGGGCACCTCCTGGCTTCCTTCCACTATCCACACCCGCCCCTGGAGAGGCCTCTCTAGCAAATAAACACTGTGAGGGGCAGTTTACTGGTCAAAAATCCCCGCTAGATGGACGTAGGAGCGGGTTACCAGGGGCTTCCTCTCGACGGTGGAAAACGTCTTCGCACTTCATTGGACAGCTATCGCCCGCCCAAGCTGGGCAGCCCCCAGCCAATAAGGTGCTGTCCCGTCCACGTTCCGCTTGTCTCATTGGGTGCATGAGGCTAAGGGCTGATCTCGAAAAGCGGACCAACAATCAACGCACCAGCGAACAAAACAAGTAATCAGAATTCAAAGNAAAGGCCTTGCGCGACAGGTCTCCAGAAGCTCCCACACGGGTGTATCGTTCACGCTCCCGCGTTGGATTTACGCCACACTGCACTACCTTGTGGGTCAGACTTTTGAGTCGAAGGCTCCGGTTAGGATTCCCAAAGAAAAACCCCTTCGTCGGTGTCGGCTACCGCGAAGTATGTCGTGCCCTAAAGTCCTAGGCACCCATTTGGAAAAAGATCCTTCCATTCTGACTAGTTCTTCTCAACCTCGATTAATCCCAGATGCCTCCTGTTTACGC